CGCGCCCCTGCGCTCCCCGCGCCGCTCCCGGGGTCCCGGGAGCTCGCAGGCCGCGCTGCCCGTCTGCCCTCTTCCTCCCAGACTCCGGGATGCTCCGATCCGGCAGCCCTGGGGAGGAGGGAGCCAGGGGCCGTGCCGAGGGGGCGGGAACGGCGAGGCAGCGGCAGCGGCAGCGGCGCCCGGGGCAGGGGGATGCTGAGCTTGCCCGGCCTGCTGCATCCCTGCCCTCCGGCCTCACCGCCTCTCCCGGCCGGGTCCCGGCTGCGCGCTCCTCCGGTGCAGCCCCGAACTGGGTTCCTGCACCACGCTGGCGGGTGGTCGGGGTGCAGGCTTCAGGTTTGAGGGTGGATGCCGGGAAATCCCCCGTGGCGCGGTGAGAGTTAACTGTGCAGCCCACAGCCGCGCCGTAAACAAATCGGTTCGAATATCTGGAGTCAGTAAGTTAAGTGAAATAAAGAGAAGTGAAGGAAAGGAAATCTCTTCCAAAACGACCTGTGCTCAGCTGCAGTCTGGCTGGGGGTGGGGGTCCCACTGGCCCCCAGTTGGCCTCTCTCTCTCTCTCTCTCTCTCTCTCTCTCACACACACACACACACACACACACACACACACGGAGGGAGGGAGGGAGGGAGGGAGGGAGGGAGGGAGGCCTCTGAGTGTCCCCTGTAAACTTCCCTGGAGAGTGGCAGATCTTCAGCTGAGAGGATGACAGAGTATCAGAGTGACTCCTAAAAATTAAAGTCCTTGTCACTGTTGCTTTCTTGGTTTTACAAAATGGTTTTTCCCCTTGTTTCTTGGTGCAGAAGGGCTGAGTCTAGAGATGGGGCCATAGCTGTTTCTCCACTACGGGCCTGAAACCGGGAACTCCTCTGGGGTCCCTGGACTCTTCAAGTTCTTGGCCACAACTGGGGAGCCTGGCTCTGGAGTCCTCAGAATTCCTGGAGAGAGCCGCGTGATCGATGCAGCATACCTCACACTTGCGCCAAGCTCCACATGCCCTGCCCTAGGGAGTCCTTTCATTGCTTCTATCCTTTGTTTCATTTCTGGACAAGCGTCACTGTCTGGGGCTGCCAGAAATGTAGATTCTTGGGGGAAAATCCCAGGGTCCCTTTGGGGTCAGATCTGAGAACACCGGCCCCTCTTCCCCTCACCCGCCTCCAACAGAAGCTTGACACACTAAGTTCTGGACACAGGTAGCAAATCAAAAGACCAGGAAGAATTCTTGCCTATTTGATATAGGGTGCAAACTGCTGGAGTCCCCTCCCTTCCTCCCAGCTCCAGGTAGTCCTTGCTTTACTTGCATCCATAACTAAAGTGAAAGTGCAAAATGCCAAATTAAGGCAGAATCTGCCCCAACGTACTCTGAGGAAATGGAATTGTTATTTTACAAGCTGATAACTTCCCATCCTTAAAAACCTCCCTCATTAGTTAGAAGTAGTAACAAGGCTACAAAAGAACAAAGAGCATGTGAGTATAGGGGAAAGTACAGGTGTGATGGGCTGGCTTCCCAAATCCCAGCCTACAGAGGGGAAAAAATACTGTGTTCCCAGTACAGTATCTCCTTAGCATAAGCCTCATTGGAAATGTTTGCTCTGGCAGAGTGAGAGCTACACATCACATGGAGACAGCATTCCCAGGAACAAAGGCTGGGGGTGGAGGGTGGAGGGGGCAGCCGGGGAACAGCCCCTGTCTAAGAACTACAAGTTCCAAGGCTTAACCAGACATATGTCTTGTTCCTGCAGCTCCTGGCTGCAGCTGGGAAGCTTCTCCAGAAGAGATCTGCTGGCCCTCTCAGGGATCTGGCTGCCCTTCCCTTCCCTCCACATCTGTTTATGCAAAGGAGGGCCCCTGGAGGACAAACAGAACCTTGTTTACTGTGCATCCCACACGGGCTTGAGCTCAAGATGCAGATTTGCCCTCATCGTGGAGGCCGAAGATAAATAGAAGGTTCCAGAGAGGGAAACAGAGAGCGAGAGCGAGAGCGAGAGCGAGAGCGAGAGAGAGAGAGAGAGAGAGAGAGAGAGAGAGAGCTTTAGAGTTGGTTGCAGAGATTATTCATAAAAATTCGTTCCCTCCAAGAAAGCTCCAGAATAATAGGTAGATTAATACCTTAATTTAAACTCTGAGGCCTCGCGTTGCTCTGAGAACCTCCTTGAGCCTGAAGCAGTTTCACTGTGGCCCTTTAAAATGTTTCTTCAGGCGTGAATGTTGTTTTCCAATAGCTGCATTCATATTTTTATTTCCAGGGTATGTTTTTCTTAAGTGTCCACTTGGAGAATGGGAGCTTTTGAAGAAAACCAAGTAATAGTTGTAGATATTTTTTTGTAAGTTGTGGTAGAAATACATCTAAATTAATAGTTTGTTCAAGTAAAATGGGGAACAGTTCATGAAAGCCTTTGTGGGAAGAAATTTTTATTTTTATTTATCTGAGTTTGGAAGATGTTCCCATTATGCCACCTCTAGTTCCAAATTGCAAATCCTAAATGCAAAGGAGGGGACTGATTGAACTTTCTAGGTTCAGAATGCCAGGACTCAAAGTGAGGATCAGGAGTGGGGTAGAGGAGTAAGACACAGCTTAACTTGAAATTTAAAATTGAAAATGGCATCTCCTAGAAAATCCCCAGTACCAAAAGAAGAAAAAAAGCTGCTGAGGCTTTTGTGTGTCCTACTGACCTAGGAACCCGAGTGCTCCCCAAGAAGACACAAGCATCTTGCAGGCTGAGTCGGCCTCCCAGCTCCCCCAGGGCTGCGGAGTGAGAGGGCCACTGCTTTGCTCTTTAGGCTGACTGTGCAAAATAAGGGCACGAGGTGAGGCATCCTGCCAGACCCGGGCACAGGCATGCCGACCTCACTCCCTGCCAACCTGGAGTGGGTGCCTCCTCCATTGGCGCTAAGCAAGCAGTGACATCTCACTAAGATCTCCCTTTAGATTTGTTTTCAAGAAGCCTTACAGGGCTTTATTACCACATGCCTTACGCTAAAGACACATGGGCTGCAACTCAGGCCGCCTTTGTGACTAGATAAGATTTTTCCCCTTTATGATCCCAGCATTTCTCCAGAAAAAAAAGCCAGCGCTGTAAGTGGCCTTGTTAAGGGGTGACAGGAGGATCAATGAGCCTTCTCCAGCTCCAGCTCCTCCAGCGCCGTGTGTCAGAACATGGCTCACTCCTGAGGCATTGGCCTGGCTGCTGCTCCTTCCAGAGACTCCGAGGTGTTTGTAACTGTAGCTAGGGAACTGCAAGATAAACCCTCTAGGCTTGCTGCTTGCAGATGACATGCTAATATGTCAAGCCCCAGGACAGCATGGATCTTCAATCCACCCAGGAGCTCCAGTGTCCTCCGGCTCTTGCCTCTCTCCACAGGTATCTCAGAGTGGTTTCCAGCCTGGGATCTGAGATGCCTTTCTATTTTGTTCATCATTCACCGGGTCCTGAGCAGATGGTGCGGCTGTGCTGGCTGTCATCACTCCTCCTATGTTTCCATGGAAACATGGGGCAGAGGGACCATCTCTGCCTTGGGCTCTCTGACAGCCTCCTCTGGAGGAGAACTTCAGCACCCTGACGCCTCCTCCTCTCTCTCCAGCCCTCTTGAAGCACAGGAGTACATTCTGGGGCCCAGGGAGCTGGGTCACTGGAGAGATCCCCAGAGGACATCCTCCCTGCAAATGACTGGAAACTGGCTAGAAAAAGAGAGCAAAGGGGGAAGGGAGGCCAAAACCCAGGTTGGGTAGCGGAAGCTGATTTGGGATGGCAGCATATTTGGACAATCTTTCCCCTCAGCCAGCTTCCATAATGACTGATTATTTGTCCAGATGTCAGTATAGATGTTCCCCAGGTTTCACTCTCTTCTCAGGTAACAGATATTTATTGAGTGTGAACACATGATGGGGGTTTTGCACTTTGCTAACGTTCTACCCCCAACTCTGTGCATTCCTTTATTTTCTGTAACAAAAGCTCAGATTTTCCCTAAGGAATGCTCTTTCCTCAGAGTTTCCAACATCCTCCTGCCTGCATAACTCATTTATATAGCCACGAAGACATTAATTAGAGTCAGAAGTCTGTGGAAACAGCAGAGCTAGGCAGGGTCAAAGGGCAAAGTGGGCAGAGAAAAGAGAGGGGAAAATGACCCCTGGGAAAGGGCGAGGAAGTGGAGGGGAAATTTTCATGCTCTTCAAATACCAAGCAAGACAAAGATAATTTCAAAATGTGGTCAGCTACCATAACATTGTTAAGAGAATTAAAATATGGCCGATTTTAGGAACTTTTTAGAAAAACTTGATTGACCATCAAAATTCTGTGGATATTCACCTTTGGTATCAGTTACTATTTCTCATACAGCTGGTACACCTGACAGGTAGATTCCGTTTACCTCATTTTTGAAGAGAAAATAAAGTAGACAGTCATACTCAAGATCAAAATACAAACAGGAAAGACTGGGCATTCCTAAAAGGAGGTCAGAAAAACAACTCCTGTCGCAGATCATATATTTCATGTCATGCTGACCAATTTGGGGAGTAATCCTTTTATTTTATGATATGAGAAAATCCCTTTCTTCTAGTAATGAGAACCAAGCATCCTGACTTAAAAACCTAATGTTCCCACTAGCTCTTTGTCATGGTTTTTCAAGATGTGCACTGGCCTGGTTAGTGAGATAGTTCAGCAGACTAA